ACTAGCTATTCAGGATCAACAGAGAGTAGTAAAAGGATAAAGGAGTCCTGAATGTATGATTCGTTTCCCTGGTCTAATGCTTTAATGAGAAAATTATGTCCAAATAAAACAGAGCTAGTGTATCCCTTCATCTAAATCGAAATCATTCAAATTCCTCTGGGGTACTTCGTTTCAAATGTGCTTAGCTACCGCCTAGTCTAGTCCTAAATCATGAATGAGCATGTCACTAGGAACAGTCTAAAAGCACACAGTCAACTATCGATGATTCATGTTCACCATTCCCTTTAAAACGTATTTTGTTTTGAAAACCGATTTTGAAAAACTTTAAGGAAAATGCAAAAAATGTAGATAATGCAAGACTCATGAAAGAAAAGTGGTTAGAAAGGGATGAAATCCTCCCCCAGACTTAAATCACACTGTCCTCAGTGTGAAACAAGTCGAGATTGGATGAGAAAAATGCATAGATAATCGAATTGGTAAGGACAAAGAGAACTTACCTGGATCCGGGATGCTGGTGGAGATGAACCGGATTCATTCGAAGGGGTTTGGGAAGGTGATTAGGTGGTGATGAAGGTGGTGGAGGGTGATGAATGAGGTGGAGGGTGATTGGTGAGGTGAAATGAGGTGAAAGGGGTGGTTTGGGTCGGGTTTGGATGTCAACGACCAAGTGCCGCGGTCAGGGGCTGCACGACCGCGGTGAACCATTGCTTGGCCGCGGTCAGAACTACACGACCGCGGTTGAACATGTATTTCCCGCGGTCAGAACGCATGCGACCGCGGTGGCTTATATCGCGGCCTCTTCCTACTTCTCCTTGGTTCCTGCTGGGCCGAGCAGTCAGGTACCATCCTTCTTTTTGGTTTTTTCTGGTTTTTTTATTTTTTTGTCTTTTTTGTTTTATAAGAAACACCTGAAACTAAGAAAAAGAAAAAGATCAAAAGAAAAAGAAAGAAAAATTCTAAAGAAAACAATACCTAAATGGGTTGCCTCCCATTAAGCGCTTTTGTTTTAAGTCGTTTAGCTCGACTTTTGGTGTTGGACGTGACTTATTCCAATGAAGAAGACCTTGTCCTGAGACAAGTCTTTTTCGACATCTCCTTGCTTTGCTTAGCAGGTTCGAGATGGTAGCCTCCTCCAGGATCAAAAATCAGTCTTGGAACTTCTTTGAGGTATGAGTCTTCAACACCACTTGTGACAGGAGAACGTCTTAGATGCTTGTATGATGAGGTGAATAAGGTCTCTCTCACTTCATGACATTGAACCATGTTGCAAGATACAAGGACAGATGATTCTTTATGATCTGAAGTGGTGGAGATGGTTAAGCATCCAAGGTGAGGACAGTTTGCTTGGAGAGGTGTCGCCATGGCTTGAACTGTTGGAGAATTGGTAAAAAGAGCATTGGCCGCTGGTGGAAGTGCCGCGACCGCAGTAAAAAGTGGTTTGGCCGCTGGTAGCGCACGCGCGACCGCGGCGAAAGGTGGTTTGGCCGCTGGTAGCGCACACGCGACCGCGGTGCCGAATATCCCAGGAAAGATGTTCAAATCCTCTTGCTTCTTGTCTCCAATTATTTTTCCTTGTGGAGAGTCTTCGGAAAAGAGACTTGAGAGCCATTTAAACTCCACTCTTGCTTCGATTAAGTCTGCATCACCTCTTATATGAGCATTGGTTAAAGGTGTGCATAGGAAAATACCTTTGTTTGTCAAACTTGTAAATCCAGCATTTTCTTCGGGTGCTCTTCTTTCTAGAACGTATCCAACATCCTTTGTAGTTCCTCCAGAGTCAAATATTGGATCATCTACGCCTCCTATTGTCAGACAATGAGAGTTTCTTGTAGTAATCACCGGGTATGGGGTTTTCTTGTTGATCTTCAGGAAACTCATATGTTGATGCAGGTAGTTGATGAGTGTTCCAACATATGCTAGACACGAAATACCAAGTATCAAGGGTTTTGTTGCATTGTTTCTCATCTCCATAGCATGGAAACCAGTAGAAACAAGACAACCTTTCCCTTGAAAAGGCAATTCTGGTTTGGAACCAAGTAGAGCTGCACCAGAAAAATCTCCATAGTGAATATCAATCTTCAAGGGATGAAAAATCGAAATACCTGTATTCTCTGCAATGGTCTTTGGTATGAGATTCACATCAGGTCCAGATTCACAAAGAGAATCACGAAATTTCACTTCCTTGATTGAGAATGGGGCATCAAACTTCTCGGAATCCTTCGTCTTAGAAATCGCCTCCAATGGTGGTTTTGATGTCACCATTAGTGTCTTATCTTCCACGTAGTCTGTCTTACATTCAAGGTGGTGAGGAGCTGAAGGAGAACAAGGCTTTGGTTCATCAAGAGAAAGGGACTTATGATCTTGTTTGTAGTCTCCAAAACACTTGAATGAATCGGTAGAGACGAGATCGTCACTAGGGATGGAAAGAGGTTCTCCTTTTTCTTGATGGCTGGCTTCCATGACGTGATGATCCAAAGGAATTTCATTTGATGGCCTCTTTCTAACAAACTTGATGGAGGATTCTCCATCTACTTCACAAGATACCCAATACCCATCATCCATAGATTCATTGAGCTCCTGAAGCATATCATCAATCTCGGTTTGGGATACAGACGACATATCTTCATCAAAGAGACAATCATGGATATCTTCGTGGGTATTGTAAGTTGTTATGGTCTCCCAGCAGAATCCTTTTTCCTCTAAACCTTCACGAATTGATTTGTAGTGCTTGCGATGTCCTCTTTTGTGGTGGTTCGGGATTGAATTCTGATCCATTGAGGAGGGATCACGAATGTATTGTGCTTCTCGGCATTGAGTAGCTCGAGGAGTGTTGTAAAAACCTCCCTCATAGTAGTAATTTCGTTTCATATGATCCATATCTTCTGAAATGGAAACAAAATAACCGAAAAATGGAAAGTTGCAGAAAAAGGGGTTCTAGAGTCGATTTACTAACCTTTCTCGGGGTTTTGCAGAAAAGAAAACACGTGCTTTCCCCGGCAACGGCGCCAAAAACTTGATGGTGGTCTTGATGTGTGGTGTCGAGGGTTGTCAAGTTTTACCCTAATTGAAATCAATAGCCGCAAGTGCACAGCTGATCGATTGTAGTACTTAGGGATCAAATCCACAGGGAAGGAGGATATTTTGCTGCAAAAAGCCTTTGAAAATAAGTTAAAGTAAGGAAGTCTAGAACAAAAACGGTTTAGTGGGGGTTTGGTAGTGTGTTTACAATCTAAAAACGAAATATTAAAAGAGAATACGGAAATTAAATGACGTAATAACTAAACTAAATGAAAATGACTAAAAATAATAAAAACGGATATTCTAATGCTTAAATGAAAATGAATTAAAAAGGAAAGACAATATTGAACTAAAGCTTAAAGAAAAATCGCAGGAAATCAATGGAGAAAAAAGCGTTGGGGTTCAGGGAAGTTTTCTCAGGGGTACGAACGATTCAAAACATTGCTAGAGAGTAAATTTTGTAAGATCTTAGCTTAAAATTTTCGAACTGGAGTCACGGACGTATGAATACGCCACTGTCGTGATCATAGACAACTATCTCTCTCAACCCTGACCAGTAGGTTTCCACTCTGGCCCTGGAAGAGAAGAGATGCATTATGTTTAAGACTCGTCCTAATTCACAAATCGCTCATAGGTAGGTTTCCACTCCTATGTTTGTTTTGCTCTCCCAAACTAGATCTGATACCTGATGAACACTTTCGTGTCACCAAGCATCTGGATCAGATTGTAGTTCATGACGCTACTCTCATGCAGTAAAAACGAATTCAGAAGAAAAAGTTCTAAGATTCAGCTAAATAGCCAATGGAATCCTCACCTAACATATAAATTCCCATCGAAAATCCATTAATCCCAACAATAAAACTACTCAGACATAATGAACGAAATTAAAGACGTAATATTAAGAAGTAGAATAGAAACCGAAATTGATAAAGAAAGAACAAGGGTTCAAGAGAACAAATCTCTCTCTCCCTAAAAGCTAAAGCAAAAACAATAAAAATATGAAGTAAATATTTCGGTGGTGATAGGTTACACGATTTCTAGGGCTCCTAAGACATGTATTTATAGTGCTCAAGACCTCTTTGGACGTCACTTAGGGTTTCTCCAAATGTGGGCTTCAGAAATGGGCTTTTTGGGCTCGGAGGTTGAAGGCCGCGGTCGGGACAAGTGTGACCGCGGTGGATGAGTGATTTGCCGCGGTCGGGATACTCCTGACCGCGGGAAAATGATTGTTGGCCGCGGGTGGAAGTGCTGGCCAGCTGGTTTACGGGACATCTTGCTCTTTGCGTATCTTTTGATTGAACCGTTGGATTGCCAAGCTGTAAAGTGCACTGGAAAGCTGATACTTTCATCTTTAAGGTATCCAAATTTGAGCTGGATCAGATGGTGAAAAGGCCTTCAATCAGGGGTGAACTTCTGACGGTTTGACTCTGAGCTGAAATCTGGTTTTCTATCCATTTTGTTAAGCTTTTCCCTAAGTTACCTGAAAAGAGTCTTGAAACTAAAAATACTAGAAAAACGTAATAAAAGTACTTAAAAGCAATTAAAAACATAGAAAAAGTATTTCAAAACGATCCATAAAAGTGGTCAAAATACGGTGTTATCACGCTGCTGTCTCAGGATGAAGACGAGTTGGAGTACCTACTTAACTTGTTATGAAACTGAGTCCCTTCCAAGAAAACATACTTGGTGAAACATTCTTTAGGTGCACCCAAAGAGGAACAGATTTCACCTCCGTTTCTGCATCTTCCGTGATTGGTGACCACTTTGATACTACCATTGGTATTTCTGCGATATTCCACATACCCCGACGCATAACCCGTTGACGAATCATTGGATTTGAGACTTTGAACCGAACTGTAGTTTCATTGATGACGTGAACGTCAATCCTTTGAGTTTTTTCACCACCCGACCAAATTTTATTAACAATCATGTGAATCTTGGCGACATGAGGAGCTGTAGCCAGGAATCGACCAATGAGAAAATCATCCCATAGGGGAAACGTCATCAGACACTTCCTTTGGAACGACAACCAAGTTTTTTCCATCTTTGACAGAGAGCTGAATTTCGTACTTTGACAAAGCTTGCTTATTTTGAACGATGTTTACCCACGATGGGGGAGATGTAGCTTGGGTTTGAGTTGGAGATGACAGCTATGGAGGGTCTCCCTCCGTGCCCTGCGACTCCATAGCCTCGCCTGAGTACGAAACCTTGAAAACCCTAGATCGCCAAACTGATCGCCTGCAGAGCTAAAACTCACCTTTACAAATTTAAATAGTCCCAACATGTCTTGATTGGCCACAATGGGTACACACAGGTCTGGTCTTAGGTGGATAGTTATTTTGAAGAGCATATGCTGCATAACTTAAATGTTCTGAAGTTTCCTGAGATAGTTGAGGAGGACCAGAATTCTGGAAAATAACTTTTCAGATTTTGAAGGCTTTATTGTCTTCTTTCTTTCATCTTGAGCTAGCATGTTATAAGCATACTCAATAGATGGTATCAGTTTGAGAACCAGAATATGTCTACAAATTGATTCATAAGACTCGTTTAATCCCATTAAGAACATTGTAACTCGGCTACGCTGTTGCATTTCTTCACATAACATAGCTGCATTACACTCACATTTTCCATAAGTGCAGACTGGGAGTTCAACATAATTCCGATATTCTTCCCATAGAGTCACCAATTCGGTGTAATACGAACTAACATCCAAAGAACCTTGTTGAATATTGCTAAGCCTTTGTTCAATCTCAAAAATCCTAGGAGCATCATCCTGTTTGAACCAAGTTAGAAGATTATTCCAGGTACCTGAAGCAATGGAGATGAACAAAAGACCCAATCTTCTTAGAAACTGAGTTCATAAGCCATGTAGCCACCATGTCGTTGCATCGAGACCAAGATCCAGAGTCGCGATAACCTTCTGTCGGTTTAGTTATGGTTCTGTTGATACACCCCAGCATATTGCGGACATTGAGCGCCATTCGTACAGATCGTCTCCAAGAATGAAAATCTGCGCCGGTGGTGAGTCGATCGGAAACCAGGACGAGTCCGGCATGATCGGAGCTGTGGAAAAAAATAAGAATTCTCATAATGATCGGAGTATTGTGAAGAACCGCCCAATGTATTAGTCGAATCATGATTCAAATCAAAAGTCACCACAATGTGCGAGAAATCAAAAAAATTATCGATTCAATGTGAAACGAACACTGTAAAGAAGATGTAAGTGATGGAAATGAGATCTAATAACAACAAACTTGGTCAAACAAAAAGAGAAAGAAGAGAAACAACGATCGATGCAATCGCTGATTAAAGAATCACAAAAACAATGAAAACGAGATTCACACGAAAGATAGAACATTATTCGTGTGGAGAAGCACTCATCAAGATGAATCAAAGCTCAATCGAAGATTAAATCAAGCTCAAAAGGAAAAATCTTGACGAAGAAGACGACGAATTCTTTTACGCGGAGGAGAGAGAGTGTTCACGCTCTGATACCATATTAACTAGAGAGAGAAGTCAACTAATTTCTCATTAATTCCTGTGAAAGTGTTGATTACATATATATACACAACTGGTTAAGTAAAAGGAAGCTTAACCAGATTAAACCAATCAATACATATATGGTTAATAGAGAGCATGGAGCAATTCCGGAGAGAACTGAGAACGTGTGGTTTAGTTTTAGAATCTGTATCGTGTTGACCATATCGTCGAGTAAGTCTAATAGGCTTTGAATAGTTTTGAACAGTCTAATGGTAAGATCAAAACGATATTTCATATTTAAACCTGTGATGTTGAAAGCTTGATCGGAGGGATGGATGACTTAGAAAGAAACTCGAAACTCAAAAGCATTGCCCCAAGCAACGTGGGACAAATGCATGAAAAAATAGTTGGAATATTCAATTACACAGAGGAGGTTTACTAATCTCCTCTTGGCGATAAAAACAAGCTGATGAGTTTTACTTATTTTTTTCCATTCCTTCTCTTAACTTGTTCTCTCTACTCCATTTTTTTCCTCCTCAAGATGCTGTGCTATTATAACTCCCATCAACTTCAAATTTGTTTAGAGATAGATTGCTAATAATCTCCTAAATACGAAAAAAGGGAGATGAATTAGTTATCAATAACATGCTTCATAAATACAATCAGAAGAGAATAGAGGTGCATTACTTGGATTGAAGCCGTGGATGCTAGACTATTGGTTCGGCTGTTATTCTGGGTGCTGTTTGGTGAAGGTCGCATTGTAGGCATGCTTTCTTCTGCCAAATCCATGAGCTTTTTAAGCTCAGGCAAAACATCCTTTCCCAAGATAGGTCTGTCTTTTGGCCTTAACTCTGCGCATTGTAAACCAAGTTTGGCTAAATCTAAGGCTTCTTCAAGTGGCCAGTCAGGAACAGCAGGGTCTAGCATCCCAAGAAAAGTTCCTTCCTCAATTGCTTTCTGAACCTTGTGAGTCAAGCTCATTGGTGGCTTTGCTGTAAGTATTTGCAAGAGTATAATCCCAAATGAGTATATATCTGATTTGGTTACAAGTATACCCGTTTGTTGGTACTCTGGATCAATGTTACACATGGTTCCAGCAGTAGAAGTCATTCTATACTCGGTTTCGGTGTTAGAAACCGCAGGTGGCATGAGCCGTGCCAGCCCGACATCAGCAATCTTGCTGACCATGTAATGGTCAAGTAATATGTTGGCTAGTTTCAGGTTTCGGTGCACCAGTGGCTCTGGTTTCATCTGGTGAAGGAAATTAAGACTGGTGGCGATTTCAGCTGCAATGCGGAATCTTAACTGCCATGAAAGCACTGGAGAGTTTCCTCGTCTAAGTATACGGTCTTCTAAGCTACCATTGGCCATATATTCATAGACTAAACACCCGTATTCTGCACAAGCTCCTAGTAAGACAACCATGTTTGGATGTCTTATGCAGGTTAGCACTTCCAATTCTTGTTGGAATTGCGATCGCCCTTGTGATGCGTCCGGTCTCACGACTTTTATAGCCACTTCTGTGTAATCTAGAGTACCCTTATAAACAGGTCCATAACCGCCTTCTCCAATCTTGTGATTATCTGAGAAATCTTCTGTTGCTTCTTCAATCTCTGCAATTGTGTACTCCCTATACCTTCTATCACTCTTAGCCAAAGAGTACATCACGTTGTTCTTATCTCCTGCTTCTCTCAGAGACGCCGTTTCGATTTGTTCTCTCTTCTGAGTTTCCATTTCTGCTATTCTATGAGCGGTTGCTATTGCTTCCATGGCTGCTCTGCTCTTTTCCTTCTCATTCTCTGCCATTGCCATTGCTGCTTCCTTAGCGAGTCTTGCTTCTTCTAGTTTCTGTTCCCTCTCTTCTTTCAATTTGTGTAACTCTGTTGTCTGAGAAGACACAAATTCACGTCTCATTTTCTTGAAATGAAATATTTATTTCAAGTTCTTAACTTACTGTTTTCTTGGCCGCGATTGCTTCTTTGCAAGCAGTGCTGTACATTTCCATTGTATACTTGAGCTCCATTTTCAGCCTTCTCATCTCAGCTTCTACATCATCCTGTAAGAGTAATAATAACGATTAAGCCTAAGTAGATTAGTAAATAATGCTAAGGTCTAAAAATGATTAATGAATACTATTCTTTACCTGGCTATGTAGTGACCATGAGGAGAGTCTCCCACTTTCTTGAGAGCTTGAGGAGAATGCAGAATACGAAGAACCAAGGTCTAAAGACTGTTTTTCTGATGAACATGAGGATGCCGCAAAGCTGCATCGGTTTTCTTCAAACTCAGAGCTAACAGAAAGACGAGGCGTTGGGAACATCCAATCCATACTTGGCCTATCACTACTCACAAACGATATATCCGAGTCTGTCACTGAGGCCTGGTCATATCCTCTTCTCAAGTAATGAGGATGCCTATTCAAATTATCATTTCTCAGTTTTGTGAAACATATTATGAATGTCACAAGCATGGTGATCGTTAGGGAACATACTTATACTTGATCTCGATCTCTTCCTGTGTTTTGTCAGCTTCACGCTGACACAGTCTTGCTCTGGGATGAGAGTTGTTGCTGCTAGCTTTGCTGGGCCGAGCTGGCAACTTTGGACGTATTGTGCAGAGTGGAGGAGGTGAAGACGTTGCTGATCTTACCGATGATATTTTACCTCTAGAGATTGCATAAACTGTACAGAAACTGGCTGCTCCTTTCATCACGGTACTTGTAACATCTGCTGCTTTGAACCTTCTATTGAAACAAAACAACACACACACAGATAATATAAGACCCTTTTCCTGTTTTGACAAGAGGAGTAGCAAGAAGAAATCTTCTTACTTTAAAAGAGTCATCTTAGATGCACCGAGTACTAGAATATCAATTGCATTCTCTTGCACATAGTCTATAATTCCTTTAGCGGCATCAACGTCCTCCAATACCACATCTTCACAATTTATCTGTCAACAATACTCTCAGTCATTAAAATTTCTGACCAAAATACCTCTATATCAATCTGTAATTACTAAAACCATAATGCCAACAGAGAAATTAACCTAGTCATGATATTGGTCTTAAATATTATCATGTGACAATAAAGATAATACTTAAAAAGAAACTGATGAAGAGAGGAGCGAAACTCACGTCTTTTCTGGTGCAGAAGCAGCGGAATGGAAGAAACAGTTCCTTCACGTCATCTCTAGACTTATTATGGTAGGTTGCTGCAATAACAGCATTGAATCATTCAAGGTAATTAAACAAGTTGTAGATGTTGATTATATTGATAGTTACCATTTAGAGGAAGGGTTTGTTTTAGCCTGACATGAACAAGAGTAAGATTCTCTCCTGGGGTTAAAAGATTATCGACAGCCCATTTCAATGCAGCCTGACTTCCTTTGTCTCGATCGATCGCAACCACGACGTTTTCATCTCTTCTCTCCCTTCCTACCATCTTCACCATTTCGGATTTTGAGCTCTAGAAAATAACAAGATAATCACAGTTTTGTTTATAAATGAAACATTTTGGGTTGCAAAGGCGTTGTAATATATGCCAATATTAGCAAAGTGCCAAAGACAACATATATAAAAAAGTCTTTGACTCTCTTTTCTGTTATGTTCTGTTTTAAAAAGTTTTCTTTTAGTGAAAGCCGTTATTTTATAACTGAAGTATCTTGCATACCTGTAGCTGTATTTCTGTCATAACCTGTAACTGAAGTATAATTCTGCACATCTGTAGCATTCTTACTTTTTCTATTTTTATATAGTTTTCTTAAACCAACATCGAATGAAAGTTTTAACAGATAGGGTTTTTTTTTTAATAGAATGTTAAATTTATTCAAAAGAAAAAAATAATCCTTTTGCACAACTCTGTGTTTAACTTTGATCAATTTTAAGAATTTTAAGAAATTAAAAAACTCAAAAACTAAGGGATTATTTTTACACATAGTTTTTGCACATATTAGTGTTCTTTCACAAAAAAAGGACAATTAGATACGGAAATGAAACACACATTCCTCCTCCTTTCCTAACCTTCTTTCATAATCTTTTAAGCCCTGCAAAGGTTTTAAAGTTTACATAGTACATGCCTTTTTATAGTTTACTTATGGAGCACAGAACAAACCAAGAAAGGCGGCAAGACAAAGACATAGAAATGAAAGAAATAATAAAATAGAGGCAAAAGAATATGTAAATTTGGTATAATCCTTCAAGTCATTGGGAGAAACCATCAAGCATCCTTGAGATTCATGATGATGGGAGCAGGGAAGCGTTTGAAGGTGTTGGCTGCAAAATTGAACGCACAAATTCCAGCTTATAAGGGACCAGGAGACGGGCACAGTCGTGATGGATGAAATAGATAGAGTTGTTTGATACTAAAATCATCATAACTCAAAACAAAAAGAGCCCGTTGACCAAAATGAGGATTCCAAATAAAAGCAGTTTTTGTAATCGGCACATGTTTTGTCAAACCACCCATAAGCTAAACCGGTGCTGACGAATAACCAGCCCTTACGATTTAGAATGGAGGTAATTTAGTCTCCTGCGAAATATAGGTTTTTAGACGGTATACAGAAAGACAAAAGGGGATATTTTTACTATATGTGTCTGTTCGTTTATCAGCACGGCTACTTGCGTCTGCCTTGAGCAGATTCCATGTTTGCTCCAAGGCGTTGGTTGCGATCAGACGCCGCTGATCGTTGTTCGTTTGTTAGTCGCGCATTTAGCCGCAGGTTTGTTCGTTTTGCAGCCAGGCGGCTAAACGTTGATCCCAGGTTTGTTCGTTTGGTAGCCATACATCTGTTTTCTCTTTTACTAAATTTTTCATTTAGTTAAAATTTTAATTATTTATAAATTTCTACATATACTTTAAATAGTTTTTAAATCTATATACAAAATTAGTTAGCAATTATAGTAATATTTTTAAGAATAGAATCTAATCATACCATTATAATATTTGTGATAAAATCATTACAATTTATTAAAAAAACAATGGATAAACTAAATCACTAAAATAAAATAACCCAAAAGTAATAAATTAAATCATTAAGTATAACAAAATAAAAGTAATACATTAAACCGTTAAAAAAAAAACAAAGTCATAAATTAAAATATTTAATAAGATAATTGACTATAGCTATCATATTGAGTTGTGAGAGTATCACGCAAAGCTTCCATCACTCTATCACCATCACTCTATCACCGGTCCAGTCATAACGAATATGTTCACCATGATCATCATCACTGCTACTATCATCAATTTCTTCTTCTTCTCCTCCTTCTTCATCACCACAAGTATGATAATCTTCTTTGTTTTGCCAACTTAGAAAATCATAAGCTTCTAATTTATTTATTTAATGCATCAATTAAGAACTCTAATTTAAATTCACTTAAATTAAGAAATATATTTTATTTTTAGTAGTAAATCATCAAGGACCTTTTGAATCATTGTACTACTTGATTCAAAAGGTTCTCACAATACAAAGAGCAGAGACTTCTGTTTACAATTCAAATTATTTAATGCTTTTTTTTCTAATTTCCTCAAAACTATCCATAAAATAATTAGATAAAATAGATTCGACCTTGCCACTTGCTAATGAGAGAAAAAAAACCAGGATAAATCCTGTTGGAGATAAACTCAATCATTCCTATATGAACGAGTCATGTGCTTGCACATAGTGTCTATGGTTTTTTTGCAGATACAGCCCTCCTGAGCCAAATTAAGACTCGTGTTGGGCCGTAAGTGATGGTGTTGTGTCTTGATGTGTGGTGTCGAGGGTTGTCAAGTTTTACCCTAATTGAAATCAATAACCGCAAGTGCACAGCTGATCGATTGTAGTACTTAGGGATCGAATCCACATGGAAGGAGGATCTTTTGCTGCAAAAAGCCTTTGAAATAAGTTAAAGTAAGGAAGTCTAGAACAAAAACGGTTTAGTGGGGGGGGGGGGGTTTGGTAGTGTGTTTAAAATCTCAAAACGAAATCTTAAAAGAGAATACGGAAATTAAATGGCGTAATAACTAAACTTAACGAAAATAACTAAAAATAATAAAAACAGATATTCTAATGCTTAAATGAAAATGAACTAAAAAGGAAAGACAATATTGAATTAAAGCTTAAAGAAAATCGGTGTAAAACAATGGAGAAGAAAGCGTTGGGGTTCAGGGAAGTTTTCTCAGGGGTACGAACGATTCAAAACATTGCTAGAGAGTAAATTTTGTAAGATCTTAGCTTAAACTTTTCGAACTGGAGTCACGGACGTATGAATACGCCATTGTCGTGATCATAGACAACTATCTCTCTCAGCCCTGACCAGTAGGTTTCCACTCTGGCCCTGGAAGAGAAGAGATGCATTATGTTTAAGACTCGTCCTAATTCACAAATCGCCCATAGGTAGGTTTCCACTCCTATGTTTGTTTTGCTCTCTCAAACTAGATCTGATACCTGATGAACACTTTCGTGTCACCAAGCATCTGGATCAGATTGTAGTTCATGACGCTACTCTCATGCAGTAAAAACGAATTCAGAAGAAAAAGTTCTAAGATTCGGCTCAATAGCCAATGGAATCCTCATCGAACATATGTATCCCCATCGAAAATCCCTTAATCCCAACAATAAAACTACTCAGACATAATGAACGAAATCAAAGACATAATATTAAGAAGTAGAATAGAAACCGAAATTGATAAAGAAAGAACAAGGGTTCAAGAGAACAAATCTCTCTCTCCCTAAAAGATAAAGCAAAAACAATAAAAATATGAAGTAAATATTTTGGTGGTGATAGGTTACACGATTTCTAGGGCTCCTAAGACATGTATTTATAGTGCTCAAGACCTCTCTGGACGTCACTTAGGGTTTCTCCAAATGTGGGCTTCAGAAATGGGCTTTTTGGGCTTGGAGGTTAAAGGCCGCGGTCGGGACAAGTGTGACCGCGGTGGATGAGTGGTTTGCCGCGGTCGGGATGCTCCTGACCGAGGGAAAATGCTTGTTGGCCGCGGGTGGAAGTGCTGGCCAGCTGGTTTACGGGACATCTTTCTCTTCGCGTATCTTTTGATTGAACCGTTGGATTGCTAAGCTGTAAAGTGCACTGGAAAGCTGATACTTCCATCTTTAAGGTCTCCAAATTTGAGCTGGATCAGACGGTGAGAAGGCCTTCAATTAGGGGTGAACTTCTGACGGTTTGACTCTGAGCTGAAATCTGGTTTTCTATCCATTTTATTAAGCTTTTCCCTAAGTTTCCTGAAAAGAGTCTTGGAACTACAAATACTAGAAAAACGTAATAAAAGTACTTAAAAACAATTAAAAACATAGAAAAAGTATTTCAAAACGATCCATAAAAGTGGTCAATATACGGTGTTATCAACTCCCCCAGACTTAAACCTTTGTTTGTCCTTAAACAAAACAAAAGCCTAAACTGGTTAAGTGAAAACAAAAATAGGGAATGCACAAATCTCATAGACATGAACTCCTAAACTAGGACCAAAGATAGTGCATCAATCCACAACTTAGTCTAGAAAATTCTCACTAATGCACAAGAGATACTAGTCCACTTTTTCCATCATGCAAAACTTAAACAATTTAAATCTTGATTTCAGTCAACTAGCTCTCTACATTCATTAAGTTTCAATAGTGAGTTCTCATTAAAGACATCATCCAGGGTAGACGGCGTTTGGCATTAAAGGGCTATTTAAGTGGTGGAGTTAAAGTGTTTCGGGTTACCCGAAGATCTGGAGGATGCAAGATAATATGCAAAACCGCAAGAGAGATAAGGACCTGTTGATGACCACAATTTTCAATCACTTCTTCTTGCCAAATGTTGTTGCATAATCCTTCCTCCTTTGTTGTAAACAGCTGTTCCCCCAGACTTAGATTCTTTCCGGGAATCAGAAAACAATCTCCAAAACTCCATAAAATCAAACTCCAGTTGCCTTGGGACTTAAAATTCGACCTCTCTAGACTCTCTAAGGCTTTTATCTCCTTTCCTTTCTTATTTTCGGATTTTTTTTTTTTTTAAATTTTTTTTTGGAAAGGAAATGCTTTTTAAAGAGAGAGACTAGAGGACGAGATTGTACCAAAATTTGAGATTTTTCTAAGGCAAACTGAGCTTCCTCTTGTGTTGAATCCTTCCAGGAACTTTTCCGGCACATCGCAGGTCTCTGTCTTTGGTGACTGAAAACTGCGTCGTTCCTCTTTCTCTCCAACGTTTTTGCATTTATCTGAATATAAGACAATAGAAAACAAGAGTGCATGTGGTTTGAAAGAGGATTGGTTAAGGTGGGGAACTAGCTAAAGATGAACTAGCCATTCAGGATCAACAGAGAGTGGTAAAAGGATAAAGGAGTCCTGAATGTATGATTTGTTTCCCTGGTCTAATGCTTCAATGAGAAAATTAAGTCCAAATTAAGTCCAAATAAAACAGAGCTAGTGTATCCCTTCATCTAAATCGAAATCATTCAAATTCCTCTGG